ACTGATTTGGTTTCAGACGTAGTGCTAACATTCAGATTCCATTTCTAGTTCAGTTTCCTGGCTGTGACCCACCACTGCTTGTCTTTAAAGAAAATGGAGCAATATGGAGGTGATGCAGCAATCAAAGACGCTTCGTTGTAAGCTTTTAACCAGACTAAGGTCCACCTACAGTTTTTAAAGAACAATGAAGATCAAAGTGATCTAAACCTGGGGTTAGTGAACTATGGCCCACAAGCCATATCCGGCCTGCAACCTGTTTTGTAAATAAAGTTATATTCAAACATAGCCATGCCCATTTGTTAGGTGTTCTCTTTGGCTGCTTTCTTGTTACAATGACTAGAGTTGTGTAGTTGTAACAGAAATGGTGTAGTGCCAGTTTCTTAAAATTCCTTAATGCTTATTGATTGAGGTATAGGAGATTTTAATATTGCTTCTCTGCTAAGATGGAGGGGAGTGAAATTGGACTTACCATTCCGTTGTAGTTGATTCAGTCTTATTGAAGGATGATTATTTAGTTGGAGCATAGCAGTTACTTTGAATCATAGACAAGTCTTCCAGTTAAATAATCTTGGATTATATAGATTAAACATATATTCTTGGCTAGAGATGGAGTGCTAAGGCTGATCAATTAGATAATTAATTGGTGTGTTTGAAATGAGTTCTTCTCTCATCATTAAGAGTTTTTTCTACCTGTCAACAAATGCTGGGTCTGGATTTCCGCAAATGTGTCTCAGGTTTCTTATCCTTTATGAAGGAGCTAGGCTCAAAAAATATTTTCACATATTAATTAACTACACTCAGGGCAAAGGATTTTTTTCTGGATCTGAAGTGATTATCTTTTAAAGAACTCTTATTCATAAATTTTCTTAGTTTTGTTCCGGTAGATCCTGTTTGGTATTGATCCAGAGCAATCCATTTTGACCACGACTCATACTTAAATGTCCTTAAGGCATTCATTCTTTGTATCTACATGGGATTTTTTTCCTGTTTTAATTTGAGTACTTAAATTGGAAAAAAAGGTTGCTTGTCCTTAGAGTAGATGTAAACTACCTCAGTGTTGATCATAGTATGTCAGTTTTTATTTGGTACCTTCAATATTCCCAGAAGTATAGAGTTAAAAGTGGGGGGACCCACTATTAAGATATTCCAGTATATTTCAGAGGAAATATGGACTTTATTTAAAAGCATCAATTTCTAGATGTTTTCCAGTAAGGTGTTTTTCTGGGAATAGACTATATTTACTTAGATTGTAAATGGAATCACATTTAAGATATTCAGTAATAAGTTCATTTTTTTATTGTTTTGAATTTTTTGTGAAACCTATGGGCTTCTTTGTAATGAGTTTTGGTGATTATACCAGTTAATTTATATTATGGTTTCTGATAGCATAGATAAAGATGACCTATTCAAAGTTAGTTTAACTTGGTATTGCATGTATCCTAATGTGACATGTATTAATCTTTCTCTGTGTTCCAAATGAAAGAAAGATCATTCCAAAGTTGATGATCACTTACAGGAGCAAATTTATATATCACAGCTTAATTCACAAGGGGAGAAGGTTAATTTGTCCATTTTGAGGGTCATCAAACAACTGTGTGAAGGATATTGCGTTTGCCAACATATATATATTTTGTCCAGGACTTTCCTCTTACTTTTAAAAACCCTGTGTATTCTAAAATGATTTAAGAAAATGGTCTGTATCTTAAGCTAAATGAAGCTTGTTCTTTATAAACACTAAAGAACCATGAAAGAGAATTCTATTTGTTTCTTGCCGTTGAACTCAGACAATTAAGAATATATAAGTGCCTGGGAGGAGAGAATGTGGGAGATCCTAGGCCAATATCTTTTAAAAAAAGTCCTCCGTAAAATGTTCAGAGCTATCCAGTGCTCTACTGACATTTTATTTTTCTTCATTTCAGCTGTGTCTAAATTAACCTGACTCCAGGTTTTATTGAAAAGTTTGACATCAGAAAGGATTTTAGTATTCATTTTGTTCATGACTCTAAAGAAAGGGTCTCTATTTCCATTTTCTCTCATGGAGCGACCACCCCTCTGTTTAAATAAGCACGCAAGCACTGCTTATTTAAATACTAATCTCTAAATGCTGCATGTTTAGGCAATATGGTTTTGGGGCTTGGATACTTTCTTCTCTCTCCTTTTTTTTTTTTGGTGTGTGTGTGGCTAATATTATGTAGTACTAGATTTTTCAGTCAGCATCGTGGGAATGGAAAGAAATTTTGGCAAGTCCAGATGAGCTTGATTTTTATTTTTAGTGAACAGGTTGCAAAGTCCCATAAGTGGCTTGCCATAATGAAAGCAGACCATGGTGGTGATAGATCTGTGCCTTCGCTGATTGATTGGTGTGGAGGAATTAGCAATCTGTGAAATGCTCTTCAGAAGTAATTCTCCTCCAGGGGTCAAGGAACTGTGGTCATCATCTCTCTGGCATGATTTGCAGCTACTCATTGTAACCTTGTCACCAGTAGCAAACATAACTGAAAATGGAAGATGTTTCCTCACTCAGTTTTCTTCCCCTCTGCCTAACTAAATTTCAGTAGTGCCGCCTTCTGTTTTGCCATCCAGCTCAGTGAAACTTTAAATCTATGAGCTATGTTTTAATTTATGACTTAAAAACTTGTCATGACGTTTCTCTTTTAATAAATTATAATGCTATACATAACGATATCTTGTAGTCAAGAGCATGTGTATAGAGGACTATGTATCATAGCAGACTCCATTGGAATTGTGTATGATGGAGTCAGCTCAGGATATATTATATGCTCTCCGTTGTAACATTGAACCAAATTATTTACCTCCATTACACCCCCCACCCTGCCCCATCCTCTTTAAGCTACGTGGCTGCTGTTATTACCATTATTTTTTAACATGGCTTGAATTGTGTCATAGTCCTGTATAAAAGTCTTTTAATGGTTTCAATACAACTGTAGGACAAACTCTAGACTCCTTTTCATGACATTTAAAATCTTTTATATTTAGTTTTGTTTCTCTCTAGTTCCCTACATACTCTGCATGCTTATTATACAGAATTATTTGAGATTCCTCAACATATCATGTTCTTTTAGACTTGGCTTTTCCCCTAATTTCAATCCCATTTCCATTTTGGCTTTTTTCTGTTTGGCACATCCTTCCTCATCTTCACTAGGAATAACTCAGTGAAGCTTTCCCTAACCCACCTTCGTGCAGGTAGTGAATTCTTTTGTGTTCTTTGGAACTTGGATCATACTATTATTATCCCACATAACATGCTGTATGTATATGTACATACATATATATTTACACACACACACACACATATCCCCCATAGTCTGTCTCATTTATCAGTCCAGGATTATTTTTTTTAATATTTCCTATCATCTACTCCAGTACACACTGTGTTAGTCTTTAACCTGGAAATACAAAATTCTTTAAAAAATGATTTGTAAAAGATTTATTAATATGCTATATGTTATACCTCTTCAATTACAACTTATTATAAATTATAAATTAAAAATTCTTAAAAAAATTTCCTATCACTCAAGTCAAGTAGACCAATGATGATTTTCAAGACTCTCTTGACACACTTCTGATACGGCAGTGATGCGCAACAAATAGCAGGGGTTGACCCACTTTGTACAGCTACTCCTAGTTGTTATTGCTAATCAGGATCCTGTAGGCTAAAATTAACAGTGACTATGAAGGACAGCAATTAAGGCCATTTGTCTTCCAAATGAGTCAATGTGGGTTCCACTGGTAGTTTAAATTTATGTACAGAGGGCACTCACACTATTACAAAGGGTAATGGGGGCCCTGAAGGCCTGTGTTGCAAAGCAATAAGTTATTTTAGGGTTATGATAGCAAATTATATTTTGAGAAGAACTTTCCCCTTGCTATGTGAAGATGTATTTCCTAGCAACGTCTTTACATTGATGAATTTTAGATTAAAAATACATCATTTTTCATGAGAACATTTATGGGAAGTCTATGTAAAAGACAACATTAAAAGACAACATCAGCTTCTGAAGTTTGGTTATTTGATTATTTTTGTTAAGAGCTAGTATCTTACTCTATTGTCCAGGCTGGAGTGCAGTGGCTCGATTATAGCTCATTGTAACCTTGAACTCCTAGGCTCAAGCCATCCTCCCACCTCAGCCTCCCCAGGCACGTGCCACCATGCTTTGCAAATTTTTAAGATTTTTTTTTTGTAGAGACAGGATCTTACTATGTTGCCCAGGCTGGTCTCGACCTCCTAGCCTGAAGCAATCCTCCTGCCTGGGCCTCCCAAAGTGCTGGGCTTACAGGCATGAACCACTGCACCTGGCCCTTGGAGTCTGATTATTTTAAAGGATTGTTGTAGTCGTAAGAGTGATTCAAGAATATACAAAACATTCTGCTTTTGCAAAAGGCTTTAGGGCTACAGTGTTATCTGGGCATCTGTGATCTTGTCTGCTTTGTCTATTTTGCCTATGACACTGGCTCCTTTCTGTCATTGGTGAGGAATGTAATTTTTATTCATACTCAAACTGCCGAACTTTTGATGAGGAAAGTGAATTCCTTTTACACAGAGAAGAATTCATAGGACTGACTTAAGTATACCACTCTTTAGCCTGTTGTTTGGTCAGAGAATTCGCTGAGTTTCTTCGCAGAGATCCCCATGGAAACTAAACAAATAAGCTATTTGAAAAGAGACAAGTTATTGGTTTTTTTCATTAAACTCACTGCTGGGTTTTTGTTAGTTCTAATCCATTTTCTTTCAAGATTAGACATACAAGCCAGTTCCTATTTTCATGATTTTAATAAATCAAGTATGTTGAGTTGTGTGTGCCTGTACATGTAGGCAAGAAGCAAAAGTAATCATTCTACTTCTGCCATAAAATTACCCCTGGAAATAAAGCCAGAAAAAAATGACTGATGTAAAAGGGAAATACTACCTCCATTTAAAAACATAGATTATTGAATAAAGTGGAAGTGGCGAGAGTGATTATAGGATTATCTGGTTGGTTATGGGCTTCAGTCCCCCCTGCCTTAAAATCATAATTGTGGATGAAAGTAATCTAAGTAAAGTATGAAAGTTATTACGGACCTCAAACACTTTAGACCCCATAAAACTTTATACGTTTCATTGCTATTATGAGTAGATTTCGAATCGTTGTTTTAAAGCAAGGAATTTGGTAAGACAGATATTAACTTCACCTTTTGAACTTGCATTACAGAGAAAGACAATTCCTTCTTTCCTGTCCTCCCCTTATCCCCACTAAAGTTGTTAAAAACTATTTAGATTCTAGGTTCTTTGTATATGTCAGGAAAACCTCACTTATAGATATGTCTTTTGTTATTTTTAGTAGTTTAAAATCTGTGCCTCAGCCATCCTTCTGAGGCTCAAACTTGCTTCTCATGCAAACAGAAGATACTCTGGTACAAATTTCTTTTTATGTGAAAATTTAAAGAAAATAGTGATAAACAGGAGTGTCATTTATTATTAAAATTATGAGTACCACATTACACATTTCAATATAACATTTGCTTCTCCAGCGCTTTTTCTGCCTTTAGAAAATCTGTTTAGAATATAACAGGAATCCTCTTTTCCCCTTCCAGGTGGCTGCACTTTTGATGATGGTCCGGGGGCCTGTGATTACCACCAGGATCTGTATGATGACTTTGAATGGGTACATGTCAGTGCTCAAGAGCCTCATTATCTGCCCCCTGAGATGCCTCAAGGTGAGAAACATTCTGTTTACTCAGTATTGGGGGAATAGCTTTAGAATATGTAGCATTTTCTTATTTTAAGCATAACAATAATAATTTAACTGTTATAATAAGCTAATTTATTGTGCTACTAGAGCACATCTAAGAGCCTTAAAATATGCTTTGCCTTTCCCTAAATACCTTTCTATAATCCTGTATTATTCAAGAATGCTCACGATACCTTTGTTATCTCTGTCTTTGGATAAAAATATGAGTGGTTTTTTTTCCCCCATTTAATAATAAATCCAAATGGCAAGCCAAAAAATAAAAAAGCAGAACTAACAATCATTTAAAAAAGATCCTAAACATGGAATCAACTCGTATGATAGCTATTCAATTAAATTGCATAGGTTTGATGCCACCACATTGAGGGGAAGGACTTATAGTACCCGGTGGGGAGAGCGGCCGTATCTTCCTCTCACTGGTCATACACATGCCAGACTCTGAGGGCAGGCAGAGTGGAGACAAAGTTGTAGAGAAATAGTGCCAAGACCTGTTGTTCTTTACCTAGACTTTGTTTTAGCCTTTGATTTTTGGTTTTGTGAGACAAATATATTTTCTAATTATGTAAGCCAGTTTGAGTTGTGTTTCTTCTTCCTTGTAAAAACCACATTGACATAGGATATCAATATATACATACCATTTCATACAATATCAGACTAATATTTGTGCTTCCAATTCTATATTAATTTGGAACTAATTCCAAGTTTTCCGTGTATAGGTTTAGCAATAACTTAACTAAATTGTAAAAATGGAGGATGTAAACAAGAATTTTAAAATATAACAATAAAAAGAGCAAACTATTTTCCTTCCAATATTTAGAAACAA